AAAGAGTGTTCCATTGCAATTTCTGTGGTTCGATCAACTGCGTTTTTATCGTTATCCGCTATTACGAGACGTACCTGTAATCATCGTAACATATCGATGTTAAACATATAAATAATTAAAATTACTATATGATTCTTGGTTATTTCTATCTTTTTTTAATTTATTTTATATTTATTTGGTACGAATACATTTGTTCTAGATAGAAATATTTAATATCATGTACTAACTTGATCATTCTTTGTGAAATTTTTATCGTCCATAATATTAAGAGATGAATTCAGATACTTGGAATACTCCGACATTATTTCATAGCTACCTATGATGGCGGCGGTGTTTTTATTTTTCGTTATATGATTAAATATCGACGTGGCGTATTTTTTCATTTCCGTTTTCTGCAATGTCCGTTGCGATTTCTCCTTATCCGTTTCTTCTTCCATCCTCATATTGCGATTACCGAGCAACACGGCGTCCCCGTAATCGACACTATTCGCTAATTTTAACTGGACCAATTTCATAGAAGCTATCGAATCCTCTGCCGAACAATGTCCAGCTTTACTATCTTGGATAATTTCTCCAAGAAAGTCGCGCGCCAAAATCTGCAATTTAGTTTTCCTATACCTGTGTAAAAAAACGAAATCAAACAAATGCACAAGAGACATATTCTATAACATTAATATTTATGATATTCCACATAGATTACCTGTCTCCTGTGAGATTGAATATTACAGAAGTATCAATGATGTAAGGATGCATCATTTTTAACGTGTGCAAATCAGAATTCAAGCTTTGTCCTACAAGAATCGCATCCGCAGGAAGTAACGTTCTCAATCTTTGCTGAACATTGTGCAATGTAACTGTGACATTGTTCAACTTCTCTTCGGTAATACCGCTGTACCGAGTTAAATAATTCGTTATCATGTTTTCCGGTTTCACAAAACTCTCATAAATAACCTATGGCAAAGATTCAAACGCGAATTTAATTATTTAATTAATGTTTCCTTTTAATGCGCAAACATTTAATGATACTTACTGTCATACTTTCATTCACGATGGTGATTCTAGTGAGTTCCAGATTACCGCTTGTTGTCAGACACATTTCGCAATCTAAACCGAACATTGGCGATGTTGCTGTAGCCTCCTCATAAACATCTTTTGTCAATAGATATGAACCATATCTTAAACCAAATTGTAATTATATTACAATTTTGCACAATATAACTTCTGTATGTGTGTAATAAAAAAATCTTACTTTTCTGCTAATGTTCCTTTCAAAGGTACAGGATAATTTTCTTCCACCATCTGTGATAATGACAAGAGCAGCTTTGTTCTACAAAATTTATCAGTAGATGGTAAACCTATATTGTGTTCAAGTGCATTCTTCACATCGCTATTTGCCGAATGCATTGGGAAAACGCTTCTCAGCAATTTTATGACATTTCCATTTGTTTGCAAAGCAGTTTCCACAGAGCCATGTTCTGAAAAATGAGAATTATCTCTTCCATTTACATCACAAAATAGATAAACTTTATAACTATTGTATTCTAAAAATATTTAGTTAAAATTTTTTACTTTATACATAGAATATAAACATAAAGAGAAATTTATTTTAGTGGAAAATATATCAGAAAAATTTTATATGTAAATGTAATTATACATGTACATACGTCTTATTAATTTATCACTTTGAGTTCCTGTTAAAGGAACAGCCGCGAGTTCCTCTATTATGGATGCTCCGTAAACAGCAGGTGTTATTACCTCTAAACGATACTTCAAGTTATTTACTATGTGTGGAAACATGCTTTCATAAGACATGAAATGGTATGAAGACAAACCTTCAACCACAAAAACTACAGTGTGGGTTACCTTTAAGAAAAATTATTTTGAATCAATCAAATGCACACACACAATTTAGACCATCTCTAAAATAAAGTACTATTTTTGGAAATATAATACTGTGATTATTACTTTGTTATATTTTTCAAGCTGGCACCATCTGGCTGGTAGGTAGGGAGAATGATGTCCAAGCAACGAATATAGCAGAAGATGTTGTACATCGCTGAGAAATATTGGTATTCTCTTCTTCATATTTTCAATGTCTAGAGTAGCATTCTCACCGACTGTTTTAAGGATAATCCTTGGAATTGCTTGAAGTTTTTTTTTACGTTTTCTAAGTTCTTGCTTTAGTTTTATATATTCGTCGCAATTGCTTAATCTGTATAAAAAACAAAACAAATTATTTCCAATATATATAAATACTTTGTTTATAAATCAATTAAAATACCTAGGCTTTTTATTGTTAGCCTGTGGCTCTGATTCACAACAATCTTTCTTTTCCTCATAAGTTTCTGAGAATGTATTATCTAAATCTTTATAAAACCGTTTATGATTAGAATTTTCTCCCATGATATTATTATTATTTGGATTGCTAATCCTATCAATAGTGGTTGATGTCTGAAAATGATTTCAAAATGTTAGTTACAAATTTTTATTTCAAATTATTCTATATTTAGATATAAACCTGTTTCAAAACTTGTAATTTTGCTTCCTTGTCTTTATCATTGAGTTTTGCGATTTCTAAAAACGCTGCCATCTTTGCTTTCTTCTTTTCCAATCTCTGTAATTGTTTTGTTGTGAGTTCCTTCATAATTTAGTATTTGGTTATTGAGACAATCTATAATCTATAAGAAATATATAATTAAATTTTATATTTATTTAATGATACATATTTGTGTGATATACTGTCTTTTCAAAAATAACAGAAATATTTCATATATAGTGATTTTCCAGCACTATGTTTAATAAATAATTTTTAGATTTCGAGCAATTCTCTTAATAAACATAATATATCTCTATATTGTGACTGAATACATTAGAATTCCGAATAAACTTTAAATTTGAAATAATTCATGATTTTGCCAAAAAAATTTCATGCAATATTGATTTGTAAGAAAAGCAATGAAATTTATAAATCATGACAGCTGTATTTAAAAAACATTTTGCTTTATTATTCTTTTCACTTAACAATAATAATAGTTTACTATTTATTAAATATTACAGCAGTTGCTATATAGATTGTCATGTAATTTATCAATGAAATCATATAATTCCAATAGATAACAATTTATAGATTCATACTTTGTAAAGAATCGAAATTTATATATATGAGTATAATTATATTACTGCTAATTATAATAGTTTACTGTATTAATTAAAAATAAAACAGATTATTTATCGTGAGAAAATATTTAAACAATAATAAATACAGTATTATATATGTATATATATATATACATATATTGTAAAACACACTATAATATATTACCATTACAGAATTTCTTATATATCTGTAATATATCGATTTCAGTATATTGACATCACCTGTTTGAGAAAAATTCAGCATTTTTCACTCCAATTTAATAATGTATCACGTTAATAACAATATTACAATATAAACATATCTCACACGTGTAAATGCACGAAAATAAGAAATGCGAGTAAATTTCAACTAGATTGATTCAGGTTAGAAAACGTAACATCGCACAAATATTTTGTATCAACTAAATGACAAAAATGTACTAGATTAAATTTAAATTTGTTCATTTTTGATACGAAAGTTCTGAAGCGTTTGATTGACCAATCAAAATAATGGGGCAAAGATTTCTTTATTCTGATTGGACAATCAAACGCTTCAAAAATTTTCTAGAATCAAATCGAGTATGCACAATTATTTTCAATGATTTCTCATCACAGTTATATGTACTCTTAGGATGTAAGCAGACGACAGTATCAGCTGGTATCAGATAGTGTTTGGCTCGTTTCACGTGTGGTTGCTAATTGCTAGATATTTATATATTTTGCAAAAAAAGTAAAACGATAGTATTATATTGTGTTAAAAGAAAAATAACCTTTTTACTACACGTTGTTAAAGAAATAATAACAATAATGTCCGCGAATACCTCGCATACAGAAAAAGAATTGGATTTGAGTAATGCTGGCCGTGGTGTGTGGCTTGTCAAAGTGCCTAAATATATAGCAAACAAATGGGAGAAAGCGCCTGGCAATATAGAAGTCGGCAAATTAAAGATTACGAAGTAAGCTTGTCTGTATTACTACATTAGTCTGTATTAGTACATTTAATTTGTGTGTAATATGTAATCCATAAGAGAAATCAGTTTTATTTTAGAGAAAAATTGTATGTGGAATTTTAATATCTTATTCCTATGCATGTTATTTTATTTTTGTCTTTGTTCTTCAGAAATCCTGGACAGAAAGCCGAAGTATCTCTCAAACTGTCAGAAGCTGTTTTGGCTCTGAAAGAACCTGGAGAGGAGGAAATACCAAAACAACATAGGCTAGATGTTACAACAGTTACTAGGCAAATGCTAGGAGTATTTTCTCATGTTACCCGTAAGTTTGACACTATTCTTAAGTTTGCTGTATTTCCGGCAATATCTATCATTAATCTTACAGCATCCGCAAGTTCAGATGCAATTGTTCCAGAAACAGAGAAGCTCTTTATGGAAGGAAGGATTGTACAAAAATTAGAATGCAGACCATATGGTATATTACTTATGTAAATAAAGTGTGTGTTGAGAGAGAGAGAAAGATTTATATATATATGTTTCCTTATAAACATTTTCTGTTAAATTTTTTTAGCTGATAATTGTTATATGAAACTGAAACTAGAAAGTATCAAGAGAGCTTCCGTGCCACAAAGACAAGTTCAACAATTAGATAGAGTTGTACAGAACTTCAAGCCTGTATCCGATCACAAACACAATGTGAGCATTATTCTTTGACACCTTTTTAACATAATTGGATTAATTTTTCATAGACAGTAACATTTTACAGATTGAATATGCTGAAAAGAAAAAAGCAGAAGGAAAGAAAATGAGAGATGATAGAAACGCTGTGCAAGATATGCTTTTTGCAGCATTTGAGAAACATCAATATTACAATATAAGAGATCTTGTGAAAATTACAAGACAACCTATTGTAAATATATATATCTTATTTACTCATAAATATTTGAATACATAGTTCACTTTAAAAGTCATAATTTTATGTATATTTAATATCTTACATATTATATTTAAATTTTAGGTTTATTTAAAAGAAATTCTCAATGAAGTTTGTAACTATAATTTAAAAAATCCCCATAGAAACATGTGGGAATTGAAGCCAGAATATCGACATTACAAAGAAGAGGAAAAACCTACAGAGGGCACTTCAAAGAGAGGCAACGAATCGGAAGATGATTGATTTTTCTTATCTATATATTATTTTTATATTTGATTATTAATAAAATTTATCAAATATTTTTTAATATAATTGCTGTAAGTTTCTAGCAATATATAATTTATAACTATGCTTCAATTCATGTTTCTTAAAAGGAAAGTTGTGTACATTTATATAGCAGTTAGAAAAATGAATATCCCTTACCAAAAGTTACTTGATGTGTACAAATTGTTTCAAGAGTCGAAAATCAAGCATATTGTTTGTTGGTCGAGTTTTGTATCCTTAAACATTTGGAAATGCTTGAAACATCAGCATGGGATGACAGCCACATAAAACTTTAATCTCCACTACTTCATTAGCAGGGATAAACAAAACAGAGCCGCGAGAAAAGATCTTGGAAGATATTTCTGCTTTACCGCTCACTATTAACAGTATGCTGGCCGAGTTTCTCTGTTTTAAATTGTGAGATGGTCGCCCAGGTGGTAGCTGTATTTAATATAAATATACACATATTTTTCATTGAAATACAATTACAAGTATTGAATAGCAACACAAAACTCACAGTGATTTTGGCTACTGCAAATTCTGGAACTGGTGGACGAAAAACTTCGGTGAACACGTCCTCCCGGAATGGTTGAATCTTTCTGGCAGAAGCTAACTCACATTCAAACGACAATATTTGTATTAAAGTTGGCACATCTTTCGGTTTTGGTGTAAGTCCAGCTCTTATCACATTGTCTGAACATGCCATACACTCTATGCAATCTAAAAATTGAAAACCTAATAAATTATTTATATTTTTATATTTGAGTACTAAATTCCAAAGGTTGAAGAATAATCTACCGCCAGAGAGATATGCATGAGGTATATTTGGTCCAATATATATGGCTTCACCTGGTTGCATTGTTATATAATTGAACAGATATATTGTAAAACAACCCACATCTCCAGGATAATCTGCGTATAGGCGCTTTAATAAATCCGCCTTTATCCATTGTCTGTAAGAATCATCTAAGAGCACAACTCAATATGATTATACTTTTCTAATAAAGATTTCTTCCAATAAGGAATATACAAAAATATACAAGCTATTCAATAAATCATGTTACAAAATAAGGAAAGATAATTTGGTAAAAAATACAACAAATATATAGTATGTTCTTTCTTTACATGGAATTTTTATATCATGATTTATTGAACCTTCTATAGGTAGAAATTTGTACCTGTATTGTGTAATCTGTCTATCAAATTTTTCAATTGTTGTGCTACTTCGTTGGAATCACAGGTCATAAGACTATAGAAACATTGTCGCAAAGCGTCACTAATCATAGAATCGGTCGCCTGAAGTAAACGACGAATATTGGTTTCTCCTATCACAGAAAGTAATTCCGGTATCTTATTCAGATAATCATTTATTTCATTAATTGGACGGAATCCACAGAGTGCTTCAAAAGGGGTTAAAGCTATCGCTAATTCTGGTTTATGATTTGGATCTCTGTAGATATTTGAAAACAATTCATGCAGTTCTTTTGCCTTCTCCTGAAACCACAAATCAATCATAATACACTACTTTTACAATTAATAGGAAAGTATTGTTACCTTATTTGGATGCACTTGAATCGACAAAGCTTTATTTATAGACAAGACCTTAAAGAGAAAAGGCAAGTTAGAGCCAAACATTTGTATTGTATCACTACCTAACACCTTAGTATTCTCTTGAATGTATTTCTGCAAGGAAACATCTGTGTCCTTGAGATACGATGGACCATTCTCATGAGTACCCATCCATAGTTCCGCGTAAGTCTTTTGCTCGTCCACCACAAAATCAGCATTAGCTGATTTCATCAAAGTTGCAACAATACTGTCCATTCCATGCTTTCCCCAATTGTACATTTGAATTGCACATTTGAGTTCCATCTTAAAGATGTATCTGTGTGCACAACAAAAAGCAAGATAAATTTTAAATACTTACATAAAATATTTATATATGTACAATAAGAAATAATTAAAATTATTTATATATTTGTGCTTTAGAACAAATTCCTTTCTTATAATAGAGTTTATATAGAATACTAACAAAAAATATTCACTGCATATATAATATATTCATTAAACTGAATAAAAAATTCTTAACATGGGTTATAACATTCATCTTGTCAGAGAGTTATAAGAAATGTTTGATAAAAATGACTTGTTTACTTCTATTTATTACATACAATAAAAAATTATATTTTTATAACGCATAGAAATGGTATTAGATATCCTCCTATTTTCTCTATAGATAAAATCTTATATATTTTCTATTTACTATTATCACCTTTTACATTATAGATCAGTAATATACATACATATTTACGCAAAAGTACAGTACTAAGTTTTCAACAAAAATCAGAGATTTAAATTTTTAAAGATCTGAGTAGCCAGTTTATTAATTTATCCTATTTTGATCCATTTTTCATCAAAAATTTGATTGCAATATTGTTTGACAAAATAGTATACATACCCACATATTTATACATACTAAAAAAAGATAAGATAATCCTTATATACATGTAATGATAGGTCTGACAAGGTGAATATTTCATCAATCACTGATTATATATTTTTTTTACGTAATTTAGTGATTACTATATATATATGCTATAAAAATTCTTAACCCTTTCCTCTCCTTTCTAACATTTTATATACAAAATGATGTAAAAAAAGAAGCGAGCGAATTGCCGCAACGTCTTAAATAAATTCGTGCACATGATATAATCATACCTGTGTTATCTAAGCAGAAGTTCATCTTATTACTTTGCGCCTTATCATTTCAATGATATAATACATGTATGATATAATACATACGTGCTTTCTTTGCAAGATAAACCATAATTCTTTTTTTTTTTAATAATATTATTATTGCGACAACTCATTATTTTTGTAATAATAAAATCGATCTATATATATAAATACAGAGATAAAAATATATTTGTAATTGAAAAACTATTAAATATATTTTTACTGATATTATCTCCAGCTCTCTCTCTCTCTCTCTCCCCCTCTCTCTCTCTCTCTCTCTCTCTCTCTCTCTCTACTATATACACATAAGCATATATAAAAAAACTGTTGCTCCAATATAATGGTTTGTTCTTTTTAGCTGCTTATATTATACTATTTACACTCAAAGTAAAATAAAAATATACATTATTTATATATTATCAATAATAAATATTTATGTACTGGAAAGATAGAGAAAAAGAGAGAAAAAAATTGAAAAAAATGCAGCAAAAGAGCAGATCTTGGCTGCGTTCCGTTTCATGCATGATGCGCATGATGCATTACTTATCTTTGTTGTTCACCGAATGTTAAATAAGGATAAGTTATGCATTATGCGCATCATGCATGAAACGGAACGCAGCCCTTATGTCAAATGGAGGTTGCGCCGATTTACAACAATTTACAATCATCTGAGATGTACGAAATATCTGTGGAAAATTTCGTATTTTCTATTTGATTATAGATATTTTTGATTGCCAAGATATAGAGCCAATTCGAATTATTTCTATCTTATATCCATGATATCTTCAAAGGAATTTTTAATTAGTAACAATCTTGTTCTCTTTGCTTATTTTTATATATAAATAAATATTTCTATTAAATATCTCAGACACGCAGTCTGAATTTAGCATTAAGGTGCCTTTAAGGTGCCTTTACATGGCAGCGTTAGTGCCGGTCTACAATAGGTGATTTAAGCCTTAAGCCCTCCGTTTTGGCCAACACAAAATCGGGAGAGTTGCGCTACTGTATATACTGTGCTATCATAGGCTGCGTTCCGTTTCATGCATGATGCGCATGATGCATTACTTATCTTTGTTGTTCACCGAATGTTAAATAAGGATAAGTTATGCATTATGCGCATCATGCATGAAACGGAACGCAGCCCTTATGTCAAATGGAGGTTGCGCCGATTTACAACAATTTACAATCATCTGAGATGTACGAAATATCTGTGGAAAATTTCGTATTTTCTATTTGATTATAGATATTTTTGATTGCCAAGATATAGAGCCAATTCGAATTATTTCTATCTTATATCCATGATATCTTCAAAGGAATTTTTAATTAGTAACAATCTTGTTCTCTTTGCTTATTTTTATATATAAATATGCGCAATTTTCTACGCAGACGCTCGACGCTTGACGCTGCCATGTAAAGGCACCTTTACGATGATAACCAATTGAATAGCCAATCACATTGGACAAGTAATATTGGTCTTGTTTGACTTCCCTCTATATATAAGAGATAGATTCTAGGCTGAAATTAGATTCTGCGCAATTTTCTACGCAGACGCTCGACGCTGCCATGTAAAGGCACCTTTACGATGATAACCAATTGGATAGCCAATCACATTGGACAAGTAATATTGGTCTTGTTTGACTTCTCTCTATATATATTTTTCGTTATTCATGCACGTTGGTGCACAAGGCACATTGTGATCTCATCTTCGTTCTTTCTTTTTCATCATTCGTCTTGCTACGAGGTATGTTATAATGTTGAATTAGATTTCTAAACATTTAATATTATTTCTTGTATATAATTATTTGAACAAGCACAGAGTTAATAATTACAAATATTATTACAGTCGTGAGAAAAATCGCCTGCAAAAATGGTGGCTCAAAAAAAACAGGTAATTGAATTGTTGCGCGTCCACGTGCTCGTTTATGTAAATTTTCACAGCGGAATTTAATACATTTATTATACATATTATATTATTACACATATTATATTAACATTTTTCGTTATATATATTAAATATATATCTTTGATTATACACATACATATATGAAAAACATTTAACTTTTTACAAATTTTTTTTTCTCAAAAAGATCATTAACTAATATAAATAATAAGTAATAATTAATTTTTTTTATTGCTTGTTTATCTAGAAAAAGGCTCAAGAGAGCATCAACACCAGATTAGCACTTGTCATGAAATCTGGTAAATATGTTCTTGGTTATAAGCAAACTCTGAAGTCCCTCCGTCAAGGCAAAGCCAAGTTGGTCATCATCGCTAGTAATACACCGCCATTGAGGTGAGACTGAGAAGTAGCACTCCTTTTTTAACAGCGAATTGACATGTTGAATATGAACATAGTTTATCTTAAAAGTAAATTAATTAAACATCTGATGGATCTTAACAATTGTAACATATGTATCTAAGATTTAAATATAAGAAATACTGAAAAAAACTTATATAATTTCAATTAAATATATGTGTTAAAAAAGAATTTTACATTTTATTGTAAAAATTATTCTAATACGAATTATATTAAGTAAAGAAGTTAGCCACATTTAACGCATAATAATGCAATAAATTAATGATAATCAATACGACTCAATTCGCTTATTGTAAATTGAATAGGAGTTCTATGGAGTAGTCTCCTGCCCTTGTTTGTAAGTGCAGGGCATTTAATTATGTTTGATCTCTGTTCATCTTCTAAAAATAGCTTAATTTGGATTTAACAGGAAATCGGAGATCGAATATTATGCTATGTTAGCGAAGACTGGTGTACATCATTACACGGGAAACAACATTGAGTTAGGAACAGCCTGTGGTAAATACTTCCGCGTTTGTACGCTTTCGATCACAGATCCTGGCAATTCTGATATTATAAAGTCTATGCCAACTGGTGATCAAGCGTAATGTAACTTTTTATTTAATAAATAACCTGAAAAATCTTGAAAAAATTATTTATTTTTATCCTTATTTATCTATATACAATATCTTTGCTTATGTTCGAAATCAAGTTTTGATATTATTAAATACAATAACTATACAATATAATATCTATATTGAAAAACCAGTAAAAATTTTGTATGAATATATAATATTGCATTTTTTAATATAACAAATTTAACATTAATAAAAAAAACAATGGATTATCACGCTTTTATTGCTTTATATTATCGTCCAACTTACTCACACATAGTTCTTCCAAATGATTTGGTTTATTACATCGACGACATATCTGTCCCTGTGCAGGACATGCAGATGCGAGGTGATCTTTGCCACATCTCAAACAATTATTTATGAAGGGAATCCGGCATTTCCATGAAAAATGATTACTCTTGCCGCAGTTTGTACACAGCTCGCCGAATGCCGGACAACGTGACTGAATATGACTCGTTCCACATTTAGTACAATCATTCACGTATTTAATTTTGCAATATTCCATCAAATGATTAAACTGTTTACACCTGCTGCACTGCACACCCCAAGCTGGACATCGATTTGGATTATGTTTTGTACCGCATCGATTACATTCTATTATAGTGCATGTGACATGGGCAGAATTCTGTTTCAGCATTCTCTCGTCATTTCCTTGTGTCATTAAATCTTCGCATTGTTTCCAAAACAAAATAATATTGTTGAGATCTAACGATTGCAAAAATGGTATAAAATTTTTCCCTTTATGTTCTATGAAAAGTGCAGCTTTTCCTGTATAACATCGAGTACTGATGTCCTGTATAATTTTCTCTTTCATGATACTCGCGGGATCAGCATAATTACGTGCAACAGCAGCGAGCTGCAAGAGACAAATAATTAATTATACAATTTGCAGGTATATAATAAGTGTTACATGTAGTTTCATGAACATACTTTCAAGTCATTTATATATTTATCAATATCCTCCTCATCTTTTTTCTTATCTCCATATATGCAATAGATATCAAATTTTTTTATCAATACATTTATATCTTCTTGTGAATTTTTATCATAAAAAGAGAATGTTCTGTAAATTTCTTGACCAACAGGACCCATACGATTTAAAAGCATGATACCCCACATTTGTTTATTGGCCTCTGTTTTATCAATATCCTTCATATAGGCAAAAAATTCATTCTTCCAAGAGAACCATGTTGTAATAAAATCATGTTTTGTAAGAAATTTTGATGGTACAATAGTATCTGTGTTTGCAGACTTATCTTTTGGAAGAATCTTTTCATTTACATTGTTGGAGTCTTCTTTCGTAAAATCAGATCCGTTAAATGGATTTGCTTGCTCACTGTTTACAGCTTCTTCTGCTTGGCTAGAAGAATTACCTACGTAATATTTATATTATAAAGCAATTTTTACAATAAAAATTTTTTTATCTCTATCTTGTACAAATAATATTTACTTACCCATTTTTGTTCTACAATCACTCCTTTGTTCAACGTATTTCTATATTTTTTATTTGTTTTGTATTTTTATATAACATTTATTTTGCAAGACAAAGAAAAAGACCAAAGTAATGTTTTACTACAGAAACCAGAGAAATGTAGAAATTCGATGATTCCACACTACTGGATTTCACTATTATTTTATAAGACATATACGATTTATCAATGCCGTTATTGTCAATGCGTTATCTTTACTGCAATCGTTATAAATGTATGTATATATATGTATGTGTATATGAATCATATAATTTTGCTTCCATAATGACTCCGGTAAATCCCTAATGTTCATCATAGACGAGATGCTTTTGAAGACTTGGGCTGCGGTCCGAAATACGCTCACAGCGCTATAAGCGCGCTGCCAGCTATAGTGCACGTGACGTAAACTATAGATTTTCAGTACTATGAGCGCTGTGAGCGTATTTCGGACCGCAGCCTTGGTAATCGTAAGTTTTTGGATTATATCCGTGAGTCTGCGTATATATTATCGCTTGCTTGTACACATATCCAAGAATTACATGACATTTAAAAATTGGGTCCTTTTGTATGGAAATATATAATAAATATATATGACGTGACATATTTCGACGACGACCGCATTTCATACAAGAGCGCGATACCGCGTTGAGAAGTTGAAAACTATTGGCCGCGTTCAGCAGAGAAAACCGCTTAGTAGCAATCGAATGTGATTGGTTCTTACTTTTAGTGCCGGTCTACAATAGGTGATTTAAGATTTAAGCTTTAGTGCCGGTCTACAATAAGTGATTTAAGCCTTAAGCCTTAAGAAATTGACTAATCACAATCAAGTATGAAGAGAATACTCGACTGTGATTAGTCAATTTCTTAAGGCTTAGGGCTT